TATATATATATATATATATATATATATATATATATATATATATATATACATATATTTATATATAATTATTTTTTTTTATAATATGCATCTTTTACTTATTTTTATAAATATTTTTTGACATTATCTAAAATGTGTAATTTAATATTTAATCATAATTTTTTTTACTTTTTAAGTATTTTTTCCATGTAAGTACTGGGAATTGTTCTCATTTATTTATTTTTTTCTTATTACAACTAAAAACTTAGCGGTGGAGTTTAAAAAAATGCAAATAAGCATATTTTAACGTCAAAAAAGTTTATTTAGGACGCAGCTAAACTGGTTGGGTTTCCGCGCTCCAGAAGTAGATGTATATAATATTTATGTGCTTACCCAGCTAAGCGGTGGTTAAAGTATGAAGTATAAGTACTGAATGGCCAGACTCGTTTCGATGGGGTGGATGTAAGAGGTAACGTCATAAAATGGTAACTGGATAAAAAGAATAAGTGGGAGTAGGTCTAGTGCTCTGTAAGTCTGTACTCTGCTCTAAAAACTACCAAACCGGTTATAGTTATAGTTATATTAAAATAAGGCATATTTAATAGTGAGGGAGGAAAAGGCGGAGGGTGCTAGCTAGCAAACGAGGTCGCTCAGACTTTAGATAAATTGGATCGCGAGTTGGCGAGTTTACGCCCTGTAAAAAATCTGGATACGAAATAAAAGGAGCTTAAGTTTTATGTAAGAGCGTTAAATTTTGAGTTTAAATTAGGCGAGAATTTTTTTTTCTTTTAGTTTCAAGGGAAAAATCTTTATACTTAAATTGGTCGAGTAAAAATCGAAATTTTAAGTTAAATATTTTGTTACGGTCCGATAAGAAGTTAAATATTAAGTTAAATATAGTACTCTGAATTACCGGTATACACTTGACAACACCGCAAGAGTTGTCTAACCTTCAAATTTATTTATGGTTACTGTCTAACTAAAATGACTGATCTTCTAGCATTTAAAAAACCGCGGTTACTTATGCGCCGAGTAATTGCGCAAGCGGTGTTGCCAAGTCAAATACAAGACTTTAAAGAACGCAAGTTCCGAGTGATTTTTCATAAAAAATATAAAATATCTCCGTAATACGTTCGGAAAGCTACTTTTTTATTGTTTTAATCGAAAGCTTATTACTTTGCAATCAAATTCAATGAAAATAAAATTTTTTTTAAATCGTTAATTGCATTAAATTCTTAACCAAATACACCACTAGTGAAATCTCCATGTTACATGCCAAAATTACAATTTTAAAACCTAATTATTTGATTAAATATCCCGGAAACCTACTGTTTTTTTATTAATTATTAGGCTACGTAGATTGAATGTACAAATTTTCAAAAAGGTTTAAAAATTTGACTACTTCGCGTGGATCTCCTTAAAATATATTTTTTATCAATCTGATAATAAATAATCTTACTAAAAATAATAGTTAAAAATTTTTTTCTTTATTGGAATTAATTTAAAACTTTAAATGAAAAAAATTTTTTTTCATTTAATTAATAAATTAAAGTTGAAAAAAAAAAACAAACTATGTGGGCTTTTTCATAAAAGTTTGTTTAAATATTTATCATTCAGAAGTTGTCCTTATATTTATATTTATTTTGTTTTATATTTGAGAATATTTTTCCAGCAGAGAACAAAGTTCTTGAATAAGCAAAGGCGAGTACGACTTGTTGATTACGACAGGAGTTTATACTTTAGGTGAAAAAAGTTTTTGAATACTCTCTTGAACTCACTTCCATGACTTGAGAGTGTACTTTCCCGGGGAATCAAAAAAACACAAGCACAAAAATAAAACTAAACATATACGGTCATGCAGTAAAAATAATAGAAATAATAAAAAGAAAAGTAGTCGGATGAAAATACTTGGTTCAAGAGATTTTAGAGACATATGAGAACAATTCCCAAGCGACAGGCACGATTTTTCTCAATGGATAAATTTCTGTTCCAAAAACAGAATTTATAAAATAATTTTTCTTTTTTAAAAGAAAAATCGTGCAGATATTTGTCGGGTAGATATTTGTTGTATGATTGAAAGGAGGAAAGTATGATGGATAATTAATAAATAAAATGGCAGGGCGAGACGAGCGCAAAGACAGCATTGGAGGAGTACGTGGCGAAAAACGTGACAGCATAGGACAAACAATGATGGCATTTTCCGAGCGATTTTACGACAGAAATAGTGAGTCTGATGAAGACGATAAGTGGAGGTAAAGAATTTATATTACTCACGTTCTTAGATATACATACCTATACGTGTACGTGTACATACCTCTTTAATATCCCTTTCTATCATATTGCCCGCTAACTTTTATTATTGAAAAAATTTTCTTAATATATGGGTATGTTTTCTTCATACTTGTACTCCTTATTCAATTTCAATGAATTTAAAGTTTATGGATCCAAGTTTTTGTTCTCGACAAATTGCTTTCTAGTCGGAGAAGAAAATTATGTGCTTTATAATGGATGTTATAAATTATTTTGCACGCCTCATAGCGCGGAGAAAATTTATAATATAAATTATAAATTGAGTACATGTCAAGATAAATACAATTATTAATAATTTAGATACTTTTAAATCAAATTTATTCAGTTAAATATAAAAAACAAATTATCGGACGTCAGTTTGAAGATTTTTAAGTTTTTTAACTAAAAAATATTGAGGAGAAATATTCTAAAAAAATTTTGCTATAGCTTGTATTTTTTATAAAAATTATAGAATATTTTTTTCAATAAAAAAAATATTAAATATTTTTTTCTTGATAATTATTTTTGTTAAAAAAAAAATTTTCAATTTTTTTTCTCATGAAATTTCTTGAAAAATAAATTTTTTTATTTGTCAAAAAAATTACTAAAATTATTTAAAAATAATAAAATGAAAGAAGAAATACTAGAGACTATAACCGAGGTCAAAAATTTCAATTTTTTATTTTTATTTAAATAAAAAAAAAATTTGCAATTTTAAATTAAAAAAAAAAGACTAATTTTTATTTTAGTTACTATTATTATATTTTTTTTCTGTGTAATTTTTCAAAATTAAATAGAGTATCAAAATTGTCAGAAAAAAAAATATTTTTATTAAAAAATTCTCAAAAATTTATTCCACACTTGTAACTAAATATCCCAACCTTGGCACGAATTATTTATAAACTTGCCTTATATATTTATGAAATTCCAGTCAACTGAGAGATGAAAACGGTGTGGATGTAAAATTGGGTCCCGGACAAGTAGCACCTCGAGGATTCAAATTTATCGGAGGTAAAACAACCGAATAATAATAATAAAAAATAAAATCTAAAGTTTTAAAAGTTTTTCCGGCAGATATTTTCAGGATAAATTAAAAAACTGTAAAAACTTACTGTTTAGGTACACACAGCGGCGAAGTTAAGCTGGCCTTGTTCCTGAGCAAAGGCACTCTCGAGGTCGAGGTGATCTGCGCGCGAGATATATGCCCAGGAGAGAAAGAAGAACCGGGTAATAAAATGGAACCCAATTTGCTTTGACAATTCCGAAAGTTGCTGACTTTCATTTATTTTAAATTCAATTATTATCATTGTTATTAGCATCATCATCGCGGCTGTTAGTCTCCAAGTGGGAAAAGTTCAATTAGATTCCGCTGAATATATTAACAGACGTTCATACTATTTATTGCGCTTCCTCTTCCTCATTCTCTGATATTTTATTTATTATAACTCATAACTTATATATAAATTAAAATTCTGTCGAAACTTGAATTATTAAAACTTTTAGATACCGTAATCTCTTTGGAAAATAAAATATACATTTGTTATTTTATTGAGTTGAATTTATAAACTTACGGTCTAGTTTATTTGACCAACTTTTTTTTTATTGATCCTCGGAAGAATTGTAATAATAACAATGATAAAAATAATTTAAGTATGAATGAATAGATAATTTAAAGCCCTTCAATAAACAATTTATTTTTTGCACTTGATAAAAAAAAATTGAACTTTTATTATTTTAATGGCAATAAAAAAAAATATATAATTTATTTATTTTTGTTAAATCAAAAAATTATCTTAAAACATTGTTTTTTAATTAAAACTAGCAACCTTGCAGTCACTATGTGACTGCCGTGACTTGTGAACTAAAAAAATTAAAATTTTGCTTTATTAAATAATGACTTTTGTTAAATTGCAGTGTACTTTTTTAACTATTGACATTTTTGAAGATATAAGTTCATCTTGATGATACACCCATCAAGAGCTTTCATTTGAGTACCCACATGCATTTTTCATATATTTTTCATATATACATATATATATATATATATGATATATATAAATATATGAAAAAATTGATGTGAGTACTCAAATGAAAGGTCTCGATGAGTGTAATGTCGGGGTGAGCTTATATCTTTAAAAATGTCAATAGTTCACAAAATACAAGGTCATTTCTTAATCATTGATATTTTTAAAGATATAAGCTCATACTGATGTTACGCTCACCAAGAGCTTTCATTTGAGTAATCACATGCATTTTTGATATATTTTTCATATATACATATATATATAAATATAAATATTTAAAATATATGAAAAATTGATGTTGGTACTCAAATGAAAGGTCTCGATGAGTGTTACATCGGGATGAGTTTATATATTTAAAAATGTCAGTAGTTCAGAAGATACAAGGTCATTTCTTAATTATGTATTTAGAGAGAATTTTCAAAATTTCACGCAAAAATTTATTTAAAACGCATTAAATTTTCTGTAAAAAAAGATCACAATTGTCCTATCCTTAATAAAATTTTCACTTCACAGACACATATGTGAAGACGTATCTCCGGGACGGCGATCGCTGGATCCACAAAAGGAAGACCCGCGTAATACGTCACTCGCGAAACCCGCAGTATCGTCAGACGCTGAAGTACGGCAGCTGCGACGCACTGGGACGTAATCTCCTGGTGATGCTTTGGGAGAAGAAGCAGGGCTTCGAGAGCAACCAGGGCCTGGGTGGCGCAGAAGTCGACCTCGAGCTTCTGCCTTTGACGACCCTCACTGTCGGCTGGTACCCTATTTTCCCAATCCACACCCTCGGCACTCAGACCGCTGACTCCCCATGATGGTTAAGGGAAAAATGGGCTTTGGAAGCCGGCGAACTCGATCTCCGACTAAGCTTGTTGGTCAAAGAGGAGACCGAGTCCGTCGTCAAAATTATCTCGTGATAGATACGACTCAAACTTTTTATATTTCGTTACTTTATTTTATTAATAAACAAAAAATCAAATTGTGACAATCAATTATTCATTTTTTTTTAACTATTAATTATTTATCATATTACCCAATGGAAATTTTTAAAAAATTATAATACACATCTCTAAGGTGCTTAAAAAATTTTTTTTTCTCTTAAGAAACCTTAAAATAATTAATTGAGCTCAAAAATAATTCTCTTGAATCAATTAAATTTTTTTCATTGCATAAAACCTAAAAAAAAAATTTTTTTTACAAAGGTAACCCTATAATTATATTAAAAAATGAACATTAGTAATCAATAAAATTCTCTATTGCATTATTACTTAATTAATACCATTTATTCTTGATAATTGATTAAAAGAAACGTAAAATGTAATTTAACTATCAATGAGAGCTTGGAAAAAGCAATAAGTTAATTAATTAAATTCCTTTAGCGCGTATTTCGCTAATACGCAAAGCACGAAAATGAATATAGAAATTAGAGAAGATTTTCAATTGTTAATTAAATATCTCTTTTATTTTATCCTAGCATCAGAGGTGTGTGTTATTTTTAATAAAAAAAGCCGCATCGCGTCAATGAACAAAAGTATTGATTTAACTACAAAGAGAATTTTTAATTATAATTATAATTAAATAAAATGATATTGAGTTAAAATGAAATGAAATAAATAATTTTCTTTGTTCCTCGTCAAGTCACGTATATTTTTCTAAAAAAAAAAAAAATTAACGAGTGAGCCGAACAAGAGTACAAAGTATCTGGGTTGGGAAAAAATATTAATTTAGTAAGCAATACCACAAAGAGGATTTAGCAATAAAATTGTACCTGGTACGATCCACAAAACGGGTAAGACCATCGAGGAACAAATTAAATTTTTTATTTTTTAATTGAGTCGCTGAGAGCCCATTTTTCCCGAATGTAAGAAAAAAAAAATGAATGGAAAATGTTTAATGATAAATATTGTGCTAGAAAAATATTCTACGAAAGTTGATCGATACCGAAATCTTTTGTCTGGTTGATCCAGTTGGGGTTCGATCAATTTTCGTACAAGACGCCACGTTGCCGGTAACGCGACAACCTTAATTGCCGGCCTCTTTACGAACGGTTAATTTTGAGACTTGAGATTAAAGTATTTAAATTCATAAGACTTATTATTGTAATTATATTATTTTATTATTTGCTTACAATGAAAGTAAAATATTCACTAAAGTTATTGTGAATTTAATTATTAAGTGTAGTTATTAGTTATTAATTAACGGTTAATACCCTGACAAAAGGATTTATTAAATTTTAATAATACAATTTTGCTTTATTGAATAATGAATTTTATTAAATTGCACTGTACGTTTTTAAATATTGATATTTTTAAAGAAATAAGCTCATCTCGGTGTTACACTCATCAAGAACTTTCATTTGAGTACCCACATGCATTTTTGATATATTTTTCATATATACATATATATAATATATATAAATATATGAAAAATTGATGTGAGTACTCAAATGAAAGGTCTCGATGAGCGTAATATCGGAATGTGCTTATATCTTTAAAAATGTCAATAGTTCTCAAGATACAATGTCATTTCTTAATTATTGACATTTTTTAAGATATAAACTCGTTTTAATGTTATACTTATCGAGACCTTTTATTTAAGTACCCACATGGCATTTTTTATATATTTTATACATATATGGTATTTGTGAAATATATATGATATATAAAATATATGAAAAATTGATGTGGGTACTCAAATGAAAGGTCTCGATGAGTGTAACATCAAGATGAGCTTATATGTTTAAAAATATCATTATTTGACAAGATACAATGTCATTTCTTAATTATTGACATTTTTTAAGATATAAACTCATTTCGATGTTACACTCATCAAGAGCTTTCATTTGAGTGTAAAGTCGGGGTGAGCTTATATCTTTTAAAATGTCAATAGTTCACAAAATACAAGGTCATTTCTTAATTATGTATCTAGAGTGTTTTCGAATGCAGCTTAAATACGTATGATACCTTGAAAAGGCACAAATTCAAAAAAATAATTTATTAACAGTTAATAAAGCTCATTAATTATAAACAAATCCTTCTATCAGTGTAATTAATTGATCAGAAAAGAGACGGCCTAATGGATGAATTTTGAATGCCAATCAAAATTATATCGTTCGTAAAAGTAAATAATTATTTAATTAATCACGTCCTCGATAACTCGCTGGCCGAGTGTTTAATTAGCGGGCGTGACACTGAAGAAAGTAATCTTTGGTGAATATGCGTATTTACATAAATATATAAATTTAAAAACAATCAATTTCTAAATATTATACAAAAAAAGTTCAATGTAAATCAAATTCAATAATTATAAGATTTTTATTTAAATTATAACCTTTTAAAAATCTTCAATATATAATCTCAAAAATATTTTTCTGCGTAGTTGCAATGATTAAAAAATAAATAAATATATATCAGATATAAATGTTAGATTTTAAATGAAATAAAATATACCTAAAATAAAATTTGCGCTTATCTCACCTGGTGAGAAAGGAAAGACAGAGACGATTATATTAAAAAGTGATAATTATCATAAAATAACTATCAAAAAATATCTTAAGTTTAAAAGAATAAAAAATCAGTAATTGTAATTGTTAAAAAAGAACTATTGATGTTTGTTTTGTGTACAGTAGTGTTAGATATATAATGTGAAATGTTTGTACCGACAAAATGGTCTCCAGAGATTCATATAACCTAATTAAAGCTGTTAAAGTGACTATAAACTTATTAAGATAAAAAAATAAACTCTAAAGAGCGCAATTGAACTATATTAAGAGCGCACAATTGAAAATTTCTTCTTGAACTAATGCTTAAATAACTTTATTAGTAAGTTGTATAAATGTAAATAATTATTTTAAAACTAATTTTTCTATTCAAATTGTTTCACAAACAAATGCTTAAATTTTCTATTCTGTTTTTTTTTGGTAAATTATTTTTATTGTACATATTAAACATTTGTTTGAAGAAATCTATGAAGATTTTGTAAATATGAAATTGCAGCAATATTCTTCAACTTGACGATCTACCAGCAATTTATAACAACCATATTTATTTTATAATTATAAGTTAATCTTAAAAACGTCAGTAATTAATTTTAGAAACAAAATTGAAGCTGTAAGCTGATGGAAAAATTAATTTTATTTCAAAGAAGAAATTTTGAAGAAAAAAAAATTGTAAATTTTTAAAAAACATTTTTTTGATTCAAAATTTCTTCTTTTAAAAATTAAAAAATAAGTTGTAATTTATTACAAAATAGCAACCATGCAGTCACTATGTGAACTATAAATAAATAAAATTTTGCTTTATTAAATAATGACTTGTTAAATTGCACTGTACTTTTTTTATTTAAATATTGAAGTTTTTAAAGATATAAGCTCATCTCGATGCTATGCTCATCAAGGGCTTTCATTTGAGTGCCCACATGCATTTTTGATATATTTTTCATATATACATATATATAATATATATAAATGTATGAAAAATTGATGTGGGTACTCAAATGAAAGGTCTTGATGAGTGTAACACCGAGATGCGCTTATATCTTTAAAAATGTCAATAATTCACAAGATACAAGGTCCTTTGAAAAGGCACAAATTCAAATCAAGACCTTTGCAATGACACTAAATTTCACTAAAAACAAACCGATTTTATCGTATGAATATCCCGGACACAATATTTTTCTTATTCTCTTATTAATATAGATTACAACAATTAAATTTTTTATTTAAAAATTAAAAAAAAGTTTTTTTTTTTTTTTTTTAATTTGTTTAAAGTCGCATAAACTACTAAGGTCATGAGCGACTACGGTAGGGGGTAAACTTTTGAGATTGGAACTCGTTTGTATTTCTTGGGCTGAGCAGAATAATACACTTAAATATTGAAAATATTCATTGGTGTACGCCGGACTCGAACCCGGTCCAATGCTTTGGTAGCAAGGGCCGGATCCGATAGGCTACTGCGCGCCTTTTAAAAATTTACAGTAATGTTTTTTTTTAACATAAAAATTTTTTTTGTAAAAGCATGACTTAGTAAGTCGCGAAATTTTTCTGTAAATTATTTAGAAACTGTCCAGTAAAGAGTGTTAGTGTGCTTTTAGTGTAGGTTAGAAATTTTCGTGGCACTATATTAATAAATCAATTAATAAAACTATCTAACAAAATACTATTCTTCTTTTCAGAATCGCTTCCAATGCTCCTCCGATTTTCCTTCGCGGGGATCCACTCAAACAGACTGTGCATCCGAAAGCCGTTTCCGTGTCACAAGTGTGGCCGATCTTACCTCAACAAGGGCAGCCTGCGCCGTCACTTACACGACGAGTGTGGGAAACCTCCACAGTACATCTGCAACATCTGCAAGAAGGGGTTCAAGCAGAAGACTAATTTTCACCGGCACAACGCTACTGTTCATCCCGATCGCTCTTTTTAACCCTTGAATTGCATATTGAATATTTATATATACATCTACATATATATTATAATTTATAATGATAATAACATACTAACATTTATACAGATTTTTAGTTTTATACTCATATATCACTAGACCAATATTAATATCAATAGTCTGCCACTATCAAAGCAATCGAATAGATTTATAGATAAAGAAGAAATATCCCGGACCTCAGTGCCAATAGAAACTAATTTTTTACCAAATTTACCAAATAGCTTACTTAACTGATATAATATATTTTTTTTTTATTTTATAATTATTGCATACTTCGATTATTAATAAAAAAAATTTTTTCTTCTATTTCTTCTTTTTTTTAATGAAAATTATAATTAATTTAAACTATATTACCAAATTATAGATAAATTTTGTAATTATTTTTGAAAAGTTTTTGAGGTATGCAATGAAAATTTTTTTGATTTAATTTATAAAGATATCTATATTTTATTTTTGTTTGATATTAATATTAAGTTATAAAAAACGTATACTTAAATTAATTATTATTGTATAAGATACTGAAAAATATTTTATATGTTATTATAATTACAAACAAATTATTCGATCAAGTTTATTAAAATTTTTATTTAAGAAAATTTTCAGACATCACAATTTTTTTTTTTTGTAAAATATTTATGTTTTATTTATTATAAAAATTATTAGATGTCATTTTTTTTTATATTATCTTTATTGAAAAAAAATTAATAGAAAATTTGAAAAATTTTTTTCATAAAAATTAAAAAAAATATATTTTTATTTAATAATTTATTTTACAACGCTTAATTTTCTCCAGAGTCAAATTTCAGTATTAATTATTTCACTATAATGTAAAATTATATTATTTAAATAAAGTTTCAAGTCTAATTACATAAATAAATTCTCACTTGAACCTTCTAATTTTTTCTGCATGACACCTTGGCACGCCTTCACAAAAAAACAATCAATTAATTAATTTATTTATTTATTATTAATAATATTTTTTACTAACATAAAAATTGTTTGATTCCAGAGCAAATACCGAGAATAAGAGTCGCAGTTCTCTCAGAACTGCAAGACCCGCTGGCAGTTCCACCGGTTCCAGAAGTTCCGCCGGTTCCTGTCCACAGAATAGAAGACTCTGAGAACTCCAATGATTCTATAGCTTCTGTAGACACGTTGATAACCAACATGCAGAATATTACAGCTTCTATAAGCCCTACGCCGATTTCTGCGCCGAATTTTGAAGTCGTGAATGTCCAGTCGCTGGCTACGCACTCTACGCAATTTTTTTGCAGACAATGCGGTCTGGATTGTGTTAACCTCAAGTCGCTTAATAAACATGTTCGTGAGGGCTGCGGTACTGGGCCTCAATTTACTTGTCTTCTCTGTGGGAAGAAGTTTAAGCAGAAACATAATTTTCATAGACATATGGCTAGTGTTCATTCAAGATCTTCAGCTAAATTTTAAATTGTTATTGTTAAAATTAATTAGATTTTTCACTATTTAAAATTTAATAAATTTTCTTCACTTCTTTTTTTTTTTAAATCATCACAAAATAAAAAATTAATGTTTCTTTTTTTTGTTAAAATTCAATTTTTTTAACTATCTAGAATTAATTTTTTTAAATTAATAATTAAGTCAAGAATTAATTTTTAACATTAAAATTCAATTTTTTTATTGCTTAGAATTTGCTTAATTTTCTTTTATTTATTTTTTTTTGTTAAAAAAGAAAAAAAAACAGTAAAAAATTAATTTCAAATGTTAAAATTTCATTTATTTAATTATCTAAAATTTGATTTATTTTCTTCACCTCTTTTTTTTTATAATTAATAATAAATAGATAATTAATTTTTTAATGTTAAAATTTAATTTTTTTACTGTCTAAAATTTGCTTAATTTTATTAATTTATAACTTATTTTTTTTATTAAAAATAAAGACAGTAAAAAATTAATTTTAAATGTTAAAATTTCAATTTTTTTAAACAAGAAAAAATTGACTTTTTACTTTAAAATTTAATTTTAAAATTCTAGATTTAATTTTTCATTAATTAATGCATAATTTTGTTTAATTAATTTTTTTTTATATTATAATTTAATTTTCTTCATTTTTTACAATTTAATTTTAATTAATTTTATATTAAAATTTAATTTTCTTCATTTCTTACAATTTAATTTAAGTTTACTTAATTACTCAATAATTATCAATTAATTTAATTTAATTTGTATTTCAATAAATTGTCTTTAAATAAAAACCATAAAAAATTTCACACCTTGAATTTTTACCAAAAATAAAAAAAAGCAACTAAACAATTTACTAACTAAATAATTTTTATTTTTTCAGATTTTTCAAGAGGAAAACTCAAAGTGAATATTTTCCACAAATAAACTAATAATACATTAAAATAATTTATGTAAATAATAAAAATAAATTTTTGTGAATGTTAATTGTAAAATAAAAATAAAAAAAAACCCTTCTAACTAAAAAAATTTTTTAAAATTGTAGTTCCGAGATTGATGGTGGTGAAAGTCGAGTCTTTGAACACATATGACGGAAGACCTTACCGATGCTCGAGATGTGGGAAGGAGTATAAAAGAGAAGCGGCATTCAGGAATCATTTACGGTTTAAATGTGGTGATTATTTATTAAATATTTAATTGACTTATTTATTTTATTTATTAATTCAAAATTAAAAGGGAATATTTTTTGTTAAAGAGCCGCTTTGCACATTGGAGGACTCGTTTGAAGAAGAAGAAGAGATATTCTCTGAGATAGACAATGAAGAAGAAGACCAAGACTACAAAGATGTCAAACCAATAATAGAAGATAAAAAAGGATACATTTGTCCGAAATGCGGAAAGTGTTACAAAGTAATGCGTTCATTAAGCCGTCACAAGCATCACGAGTGTGGAATAGAGCCGCGCCATATTTGCGCAATTTGCGGGAGGAAATTCCCGCATAAATTTAAACTTGTGAAACACTTCATAACTTGTGAAAAGAATTTGCAGGCTCAAAAATTATTATGAAATTTAATTATTGCAGACTGAATATTAAAATAAGTTTATTAAAAAGGCTGTTATTTTATTTATTTTGATATTAATTGCTGTGTGGGAAGAAATTTCCTCATAGGTTTAAGCTCACAAGACACATGGTGTCCTGCAAAGCCAATCAGAAGTTTGATTGGAGATTAGGACAGTAGTTTGTAGATAAGGAAATAAAAGCCGTAAAAATGGCGCCTGTATTTTTAATATTTATTGTAGACTAACTGTGAAATAATTAATTAATTATATTTGTTTTGTTATTATTAATAGAACTTTGTGATGCTGGTACTGTCTTGTGTGAAATAATAAAAAGAGGTGTCTGAGAGAGGAAGGTTTACTTGATTAAAAAATAATAAAGCGAGTGGTAAATTATTTAAAAGCCGTGGAATAATCAGTGAGTTTGTGTGTCTTGTGGTGGGCTCTGACTTTTCTTACGCGCCTGGGGATCTTTAGATTGTTTTCTAGCTCTTCTCCGTCTTTCTCAACCGCCGGTAGTTTAAGACTTATCATTAGTAATAATAATAATAATGATAATAATAAAAATAATAGTAATAACAATAGTTGTATTAAGTGGCTTGTAATTAAAAGTTATTATAATTAGTGTGTCGAATAATAAAAGGTTACTGATGATTTAAATATTTTGTTACAGATGGGGATGGATATTTGCCGGAGTCTCAGTCCTCGTCGGACAACGAGGAAATTTACCCGCAAAATCTTCTTGGTGTCGCGTACAAAACTTCGGTTAATAATTCTAAAGAAGTTAGAGACGACGACGGGAAATATGTTTGCACTAAATGCGGAAAATCATACATCGCCTCAACCTCTCTGAGGCGGCACCAGCGGCTCGAGTGCGGAGTTGACCCCGCTCAGAAGTGTCACATTTGTAACAGGCGCTTCAGACACAAATTTGTTCTCACCGCTCATATTAACAATTGCGAGAGAAAAGTACTCGGGATCGAAGTTATTGAGATTATTAAAAAAAATCCTAATAACTCTAAATCCTCATAAATACTCTAATTTGTAATCCACTTTTTTTTTTTTTTCATTATGTTTGTTTTTTATTAATAATTTCATTAATTTTTTGTGTTAATCAAAATAATTTTTTTTTTATATGTTACATTTACACTTAAGAATTTTTTTTATATACTTTTTAAGGGACATTAAGTATAAAAATTAAGTACAAATTACAACAATAAAATATTAAGATTTTTTTTTGAGAAATATTTAGAAGGTAATATTCTTCTTTTTATTTTTTTATTAATAAAAAAAATATATACTTAGAATTTTTTTAAATAATTACACTTATTAATTGATTAATTAATAATATCCACTTTTATAATTACCAAAAAAAAAAAATTAACACACTCAACAAAAACCAAAATATGAAATTGTAATACCTCAAATGATTGTAATGAATAAATATTTTCCCTGGAACTAATTAATTATTAATTACATTTCTTTCTTAAAATACTTGCATGTCTAAAAAATTCTTATCTTTATTATTATTATTCTGTATTAATTTATAAATTATAAAATTATATTAAACAATACTAATTATTAAAATAAAAATAAAATTTATAATTTTTTCTAACAAACTTTTCTTATTTTCAGACTTTGGAAGAACTTGGCGCAAAACTTCTAAAAAAGTCTACCAATCTTTAGGACTTCCCGGATTCAGAGCTGTTGATAGTCGCCCGACTTTGGTCTGTCACAGATGTCATCTTCTTTTCTCAAGTATGTCTAACTTACACCGGCACCAGAAGTCTCATTGCGGACAGAAAAAAAACACCGTCGAGTGCGACCGATGCAAGAAACAATTCAGCCGCAAAGATGTTTTGCTCCGGCATCAGACTAATTTTTGCAGATAAAATTAATTTAATTAATTAAATTATTAAAATTTTTCCAACAATAATAATAGTAATAAAATAAAATTAATCAGTTAAATTAAAAATGTTTGAATAAAAAAAATCTTGTAATAAAATATTGAATTATTTTTTTTTTAAATCCTTAATTAATTGCTTTGCATTGTGTACATACCGCATTTGTTATTAATCATTAATTATTAATTATAAATAATTAACCAGTAATTATTAATTATTAATCATTATTTATAAAATAAATTTAATTTTAATTAATTAAAAAAATAAATTTTAGGATAAAAATTAATTAATTAAAAAAATTTTGACTGTTTTTAGCTTTGAAAATAGAGCGCGTATGGAGCTGGTGCGTAAAAAGCGAAGTTTCGAGCAACCCAGAAGAAGAAAACTCGACAAACCCCGACTTGGAGTCCGCAGAGCCGCAAAAAGCTCCCCCACGGGTCAACAAACCCAACACTACATTCGTCTGCGCTTCCTGTGGAAGAAAATACGCGCGTAAAAGCTCCCTCAGGCGTCACAAGAAGAAATGCGTTGTAGAGCCGACTCTTCAGTGCATTATTTGTGAAGAAAAGTTCTACAAGAATTATCAGCTTGAGCTTCACATGAAACAATGCCTTAAACGTATACAAACGCGTACTGATAGTTTATAATCACCCAATTTTATAATACATATATATACATACATTGATAAAAAATTTAACGATTCAAGAGCAAGAATTTTTAACCATCATTTTGAAGAAAAAGAATTACTTAAGTCAAAATTTTCTTGATTTAAGAATTTTTCTTCTTAACTTGATAGAGTTATTTTCTTCAAAATGGTGTTCTTGGTTCAAGACTCTTGATTTTGAGTCAAGTTAAATTTTTTATTCATGTATATATAGTAATAAATATTTACAAAATATGTTATATTCAAATAATTGTAGTTTGGATTGATTACTTATATTTTATTAAATTAATATTATTTTTTAATTAAAAAAAAAATATGTCTTTAAATACAAAACCAAAAATGTGGGAAGAAATAATTAAAAAATAAATTATATATGTGATATTTGTTAAAATTTAGAAAATTATAAAAATTTCTACGATACTAGGAAGAAATAAGATTAAGACTATACATTAAATTAAAAAAAAAAATTTAAGACATTATATAAATATTAATAACCAATTACTTAATAAAAAGAAGAATATATAAATTTATTATATAAATATTTAAATAGAGGTGCATTTAAAATTGTTACTACTATATATTTAAACCAATATATTATTTGTTTTTATAATATCATAATTTATATATATTGACAAGACAATCATAGACTAAAAATTAAGGATAAAAATATTTTATATTTATTAAGGTCACTGTGTGTTGTATTTTATGCAAGGGTTATTTATACTTAGGGTTAAAAAAAAAAGGAACAAAAAGAAATTAATTATAAATTATAATTGATACTTTGTAAAAGCATTGTGTATTTATATATATTTTCACACTAATAAAGATCAAATTTCTGGTAAAGTATAATTAATAATTATTATTGTTAATTACCGAGAAGATTAAGAGATTATAATATTTGTGAGTTTATTCAGGAGAATTTTATTGAACGGCTGGTACTAATTAGGTGTTGTTGGTTGCAGAGATCCTGGAACAGTACGAGCAGCGGTTCCCGGAACGAGTGGAACCAGAGATGAGCGCCAGAACGAGTGGAACATATGTGTCGGTATCTGTGGACCAGTCGACGCAGTTGTACGTCTGCAGCGCCTGCGGGAAAGGGTACAAGTGGCTGGACAGCCTGAGGAGGCACCAGAGGGTCGAGTGTGGGAACAAAGAAAAACGATTTTCTTGCAACGCCTGCTCCAGGAAATTCAGATACCGATACGAGCTCACGAACCACATATCTGCTTATCATTAGCCGCTGATAATCGTCCAGAGAGTTTGCACTGATAGAAGGATTTTTTTATATTTAATATTTATTTACTTTTAATAAATGATTTTTTTAACATAGGATTTAATAAATATTTATTAACAGTTAATAAATATTTATTAATGGTTAATGAATATTTGTTAATGGTTAATAATGGATAATAATTCAATTCACTAAATAAATTAACGTTTTTAATATTAAAAATATAAAAGACAATTATGAGCTGTGATAGAATTTGGTATTTTATGATAAACGTTATTATAATCTATATTATTAAGAGAATAAGAAAAATTTTGTGTCCAGGATAGTCATATGATAAAATCGGTTTTTTTAGTAAAATTTAGTGTCATTGCAAAGGTCTTGATTTGAATTTGTACCTTTTCAAGGTTTCATATCATTCTCACCAATAGTCAATTTATAATGATAATTATTTAGGCTGCATTCGAAAATTCTCTATCTCTAGACACATAATTAAGAAATTATCTTGTATCTTGTGAAGTATTGACATTTTTAAAGATATAAGCTCATCCCGATGTTACACTCATCGAGACCTTTCATTTGAGTACCCACATAGATTTTTTATATATTTTATATATTTATATATATTATATATATGTATATATGAAAAATATATCAAAACTGCATGTGGGTACTCAAATGAAAGCTCTCGATGAGTCTAACGTCGAAATGAGTTTATATCTTAAAAAAGGCCAATAATTAAGAAATCACCTTGTATATTGTAAATTATTGACATTTTTAAAGATATAAGCTCATCCCGATGTTACACTCATCAAGAGCTTTCATTTGAGTACCTACATCAATTTTTCATATATTTTATATTTTTATATATTGTATATATGAAAAATATACCAATTGAATGTTAAAAAACATTTATTAAAATTAAATAAACTAATTGATTTCATAATTTTATAATATCATAATTGTCTTCAAATAAATAAAATTATTAATAGTTAATAAATCCTTCTATCACTGTGGCTAAACTTTAACCGGCCGAGGATTACTTCCTCCCCAAAGTTAATTTATTCATTTGTACCTGTACAATCATGAGATAATAAACTATTTCCAATTACTAAAAACTTTAATTTATTCCGTTATTCTTTCGCATGTCAGTCACTAGCCAATTATTATAAAGAGCATCATAATTTTATCGCATACACTTTACGCTTTAATTAACTAAGACTATCTGAACGGACAATATCAACTGGACTGCCAATAAAAACCAAACCGGTTGGCTAATTGTCATTTTAAATAATTAGAGAGTTTACTTTCTGTTACAGCCTGGGCTTTTCCCGAGACATCTTCCTACGGGCTGTACTCTTGTCCTAAGTGCACTAGGACTTACTCTCACAAGTGCACCCTTATGAGGCACCTCAGGTTGGAGTGCGGAGTCGGCCCAAGGTTCCAGTGCTCTCTCTGCGAGAAGAAATTCAAACATCGGCATCATCTTCGGGACCATGAAAAGACTCACTCACAACACTCTAATTTAACAGCGCAAATTTAAATTAATTAATTAATTATAATAAAAGACTTAAATATTATTATGTTAATTAATCAGTATTAATAATTAATTATTGTATTTTTTTTTTTTTTAAATAAATTATTTATTTTTTTTCTAAACTATCGACAGTTTTTTAAATCCATAATTTCTACTTTTAATTATAATTTATAATTATTATAAATTAATTATTGATAAAAAATTTAAATACACAATAATTACATTTATTTCTATTTTAATTATAATTATAATTAATAGATTTTTATATTCATTAAAAAATAATTTTTTAAAATATAAAAAAAAATCTTAATTCTTAAAATTATAATTTTATGAATTAAATACACATATGAGATCATTATTATTATTTTATGAATATATTACACGCATTTTTCTAATATATACTTTTTTTATATCTAAGATTTTTTTTTCACAGTCAAATTTATTAATATTTATCGAATTTAAAATATATTTTGATTTCTTCTTAAAATATACATTTACATTTATATTGAACATATGTACAAAAAGATACTAAGACAAATTTAGATCCTTAAAGTAAATTATTAGTTAATAATTGTCTTCACGGCCGTCGAAGGGAGTCTTGACGAAGTACGTCGTGAGCGTACCCTTGCCCTTGACGTAAGTAGGCCCGCGACAAATTAATTCATAACAGGCGTTTCTTAATATCTTCGCGGAATCTTCGGTTACTTGCAGACGCCCGATTTCGCCACAACTGTCCATCCTTGAAGCTACGTTGACCGTGTTGCCCCATATGTCGTACTGAGGTTTTTGAGCGCCTACTACACCAGCTATTACTGGTCCATGATTCAAACCTAATAAATTAATAATTAGTTTAATTTTTTATTTCTTCCTTTGTTAAATTTTTAAATTTTAATATTTTTTTTTATTTCTTCTTTATCAATAGTTATTAAAAATTTTTAATTAGTGACATTTTATATTTCTTCTCAAATTTTAAAATTTTTAATATTTTATTTATTTCTTCTCTTTAATAATTTCTTTTTTTTTTTTAATTTTTTCTTTATTAATAATTATTTAAAATTTTGAAATAAAAATTACAAAACTTTTTAAATAGATTATAAAAGAAGAAATTATTTGAGAAGAAATAAAAAGTTATACAAGAAGAAACATTTAATTTAAATGAAATATTAAAGAAGAATAGTAGTATTAATAATAACTTCTTACCCATGCGAAGTTTAAACCTTTGAAATGATTCTCGGTTGATATGATCAAGTACCGTCATAAGAGCAATTGCAAATTCAACTAGTACAATAACATTATGTTCTTCTTGTTTTGTAAAATCCTAAAACAAAATTATTCCATTTGTTTATTAAAACATTTAAATTCATGTTACTTAATTAAAGCAGATAAAAAATTTAATGAGATTTTAAAAAAGTTTATAAAAAATTTTTTAAATGTGGCAATTTATAAAATTTTTACACATAATTTTATAAAATTCAAGTCCTGAAATTTCATGAAATTTTGCAAAAATTCTATCAAATTACATGAATTACATAAAATTATATGATATTTAATGAAAAAAAGAAAATCAAATAAATTTTATTTTGTTTCTTCAAAATAAATATACCTTATTCTCATTATCTTCCTTCCCCGGATTCAACCCAGCAGCAAGCATATAAGTACTGCCAATAGTCTTAATCTTTTCAATACAAGAAAACTTAGGCTTGAGCAATAACTTATCAAAGTCGCAAATGATTTCATTGAGCAGCCTGAGGCACTCCAGACCTTGCTTGTTAATATCAGTTTCGTCATAAAATTCTTTATAATTAGGAATAGACGCGAACATCACCGCGATGCTGTTGTACCTCTCGTGGTAAAGTTCCTGGGCGTCGCTGATGGAGAGAAAGTGATGAGCGACGTGAGCTGGTAAGATGTTCTCCAGCAGGATCTTGTTGATTCCTCTCATGGTTTCCACTTCGTCTTGCTCGACTTTCAATTTATACTTACATTGAAAGTCCGTACGCGTGGTAAACTCCAACTGTCGGTCCAGTACGTGCAGAATTGAAGCTATCAAGAGCAGCAGGAACCCGATCTGGATCAAGTACGGAACTCGATTGAACCTAGATTAATTTTTAGTATTTTATATAAAAAATTGCGCTTCAGTAATTTAAAATTATAAATTAACTCACTCTTGCTCGGACTGCTGGTAAGAACCAATTATTTGAGCTTGAAAAAATACGATCAGGACGGTGATTATCGACACAAGCATCACGAAAAATTTTAATAGGAAGCCTACTCTCAGATGCACCCATCCGATTATTAATGCAATTGCTACTGAATGTACATAAGCCTGAAATTTAAAAAATTTATTAAATTTTTTTTTCTATCAATAATTTAAAAATTAAAAAAAAAAATTTTTAAGACAATATTCTGGTCTAGAAGCTTAAATTTGAGACATTTTTTTAACTAACATAAAAAAAAATGAAAAACATTTTTACTATACATTTTTTGGTATGATATTTATTGACATTTTAAAGATATAAAAATAAAAAAAAATTATAAAAAAGAAAATCAAAAACTCGTTGAATTACAGGCTACAAAAAAAACGTCGCACCCTGGTTGAAATGATTCCAGCCCTTGTAGTGATCTGAAACAAAAAAATTTGAGATATTCTCAATTAGTAAAAAATATCGCTATCGAATTGATCCTAAACAGAAAAAAAAATTAAGTTGGATCAAGAGAAAAATTCTTAAACCAAGAAAATAATTTTGAAGTGTTTAATTGTCTTGGATCAAGACGAAAAATTTTTGAATCAAGAATAATTTCTTAGTTTAAGAATTTTTTTACTTAATTAAATTCTTCAAAATTATTTACTTGATTAAAAATTTTTTTTTAATACTCACTTCAAATTAATCAGCTCTTCCAGATCCATACATTGGCCCTTCTTCAACTTCATACGCAATCTCTGCAGTTTTTTTTGACCCAGCTTTTAATTCAGAGTGATCAACCCTAACTTCATTCCTTCTCACCGCAAATGTATGAGCTTCAGTCCCAACAGTGATGCCCATAAGCTCCATGATTTTCAAGATCGGTAAAAACCCTCCATTAAAAATAGCAACAGCTAAATAACTTGCAATTTGAATTGTCTGGGGTCCAGGGGTAATATGCTTTGGAGCAAAAGTCCATATCAGTGAAAAGAGCGATTCATTATCATTATTAATCTGAGTTTCCGAGCCTAAACATTGTTTTTCAACAACTGGATCATCATCATACGGATTCATATCAGGAACACCTTCTCCATCTCCAATAAATTTGCTGTATTTTACCTCATGCTTCTCTACCGACCTATTGAACATCTCTAGCACCGCATCTTTTTCCATTTTCCCAGAACTTTCTTTACAATTTATCGCACAAGAATCTACATGTTCTTTAAACCAATCTTCATATGCTTTAACATCAAATTTATTTTTACCCTTCCACAAGTTACAATCTTGACAAAAGCTAGATTTAACAACAGTATCAACAACTTTTTTGCTGTATTTACCAATAAGGGTTGCAATTCCAAAAAGTGAAGCAAACCCTCGCTGTTTCCAGGTACTAACTCCAGAAACTGTCAAGTTTTTTGGATTTTGATTAGGTTCAGACTCTGACAATAATTCCTGCTCTTCTTTGACAGCTTTTGAAATCAGCTGATCATAAACTGCACTTGCAGCAGAGTGTAAATTATCAAGACAACTGTTGTAAGTACTGACACACAAACCTTGGCATATATCCATGACACTACAAAAAATATTAATCCCTTCTCTTCCTACCCCTAAAAGTCTCATAGCTGTTACAATCCGGCGGTTTATTTCATAAGCTTTGTTCACCGTCGGACATGATTGAATATAAGTAATACTTTCGCAATTGCACTGCAGTGCAATTTTGAATCCTAACCCACGTGGCGCCGTTTGGGAAAATTTTATTTCTTCTTTGCAAGTAGCACATACAATTAAGGTTGACAGAGTTTGAAAAACTGAGTAAAATTCTAGAATACAGTACCCGAAATTTTTATTAATAATTACTTCCTCATCTCCAGAATTTTTAAACTTTGCCGCAGAAGCACTTGTATAACTAGTTTCTCTTTCAACGGTAAATCTATTTGACGAAAATCGCCTCTTTTTTCGCCTATCTGCACGACTATGGCTTCCTCGAGAACCTTTTCTATCCATTTTTAAGCAATTACTTTAAAAAAAAAAAAAAAAAACAATCTTTAATTTATTATTTTAAAAATATTCACAGAGCACGTGTCTACTTCGCTATAAGGTTCAAACTAAACTAAACAGAATAATAAAAATAAATGAGACTATGACCTTCGAGTTATATATAGTTCCAGGTATATATAGTATGTTTAGGGTATATGTTAAATATATGAAGGTTTATGTCGAGTACAAAAGAATTTCTAAAAAGAACGAGTCCACAAGTCGTCCGGTACGGCAACATCTGTACTGCCATTTGTAGTATACGTTACGCGCACAAGCGCGCGTCTGCATGTTAGTACGAAATTTTATATATATTTTCATCTAAATTATACTTTGCTTAGATTAGATGTCACGTTACAAAATCCACTGTATCTCCGAAAAAAAATATGAAAATCAAGTTAGCTGACATTTCAAAATTTTTAGAAATTTTTTTATCCAAAAAATTTCAATTAAACAATTAAAAAAAAAAATATCACATGTTAAAAACTTGAAAAACTATAAGTGAAATTTTTTAAAAAGTCTTTTTAATTGTAATTTAATTAAAAAAAAAAAAATCAAAAATTTTTAGACGTCTGCTAACTTCAGTGTCATAAAAAAATCGATTTTTTCTAATTTCTAGACCAGAATAATTAATGCCTTAATAATTTTGGCTTAAAATATTATTATTATTATTGTTATTAATGAAGTAATTTGAATGAAAAATAAATTTAAACACTCACACTGTTAGGCGCGATATTGCTGTCAGGATTAAAATCAATGAGAGAAATAAGAGCCGAAGCGATCGCAAGAACTGCCGTGATGAGATAAACCGTGATTCTAATCCCTCGGCTCAAAACAGTCGGGTGATCGTGATCATTGGAGCTGTCGCTGGTTTTATCAGCGTACCATGAAATCCCAGAGAACATCGTCAGCGAGATAAGTCCTGCTCCGAAACACCCGTATATTGTTATGCTCCTAATATTTAAAAAGAAGTACTTAATCTTTTTTTTTTGTTTTATATTTATTATTTTTTTTTTTTACAGTCAATTGGGGTTTTTTAAAAGTTTTTATTAAATAGTTATTTCTTAAAATATTTTTTTCTTTTAATTATTTATTATTGATATTTAATTGCTGTAATAATAAAAATTTATTTTTTTTTAATCGATTCATATAAGCTCATTTTTAAAAATTATATATAATAATAATATTTTTCAAATTTAATTAAAACTTTTATTAAATATACCCACATGCACTTTGATATATTTTTCATACATACATATATATTTTAAAGATATAAGCTCATCTCGATGTTCTACTCATCGAAACCTTTCATTTGAGTACCCACATCAATTTTTCATATGAATATATATTATATATATGAATATATGAAAAATATATCAAAAATGCATATGGGTACTCAAATGAAAGGTCTTGATGAGTGTAACATCGGGATGAGCTTATATCTTTAAAAATGTCATTAGTTGACAAAATACAATGTCATTTCTTAATTATTGACATTTTTTAAGATATAAACTCATTTTGATCTTACACTCATCGAGACCTTTCATTTAAGTACCCACATGACATTTTTTATATATTTTACATATATGGTATTTGTGAAATATATATAATATATATAAATATATGAAAAATTGATGTGGGTACTCAAATGAAAGGCCTCGATGAGTGTATCATCGGGATGAGCTTATATCTTTAAAAATGTCAATAGTTCACGAGATACAAGGTCATTTCTTACTTATTCTCTTAATAATATAGATTAAAATGTAAGAACTAAATAAAAACTCCAACTGACAAAATATTTAAATTGATAATTACCTCGGTGAATAAATTATTTGAATGCAAAACATGGTGAGATACAAAACATTAGACGCGATGACATACCAAGGATATTGATCATCCCTTTGATCTCGGTACTGTGTCTCTTGACTTTTGTCTCTAAACCAGTAAGTTGTTGATGACATTCCTTCATTATTTCCCCAGCATTGTCTGTATTTAATAACAAAAAAAAATTTATTATTATAAATTATAAATATTGATATTTATTTTTTAAGTAATTAGTAATGACTTACTTCATATTGCAACAATTAGAGTCATTAGTTAAAAAATTTGATTCGATCATCGCGATACTCTGCAAAAAATAAAATAATTATTGACAATTGGTAAATTTATAATTTAAAATAATAATTACTCACAGTTAAGCCGATATTTTTTGCAAGTGTAGATTCAGCAATGTTTGCAAAAGGTTTATCAGCACCCCAACACTCGACATATTTAGTCATTTTGCTGCCGGGTCGAGACCGAGAGGGAGCAGATTTAACTCCCGATAGCTTTCCATTTTCCAGCTCGCTTTCTTCGGTTTTTTTCTGGAATAATAAACAAAATAAAATTTTAAATTAGCTTCGTGACTCATGTTATAATCTAATAATTTTTTTTCGGGACACTCAATCATTTTAATGTGCGCGAATTATTATTGTAGGATAAATTGGGTAATAAAAATTTACCTTCAGAGGGATTATTAAAAAAGTTTCTATTTTATGATCCGCTAGATAACTATCCCGTGATTCTCCACTTCCTGGTTCTACTTCAAAACGGTTTTCTAATTGGTCTAGTGTTGCTTTTGTTACATGGACTCGTCTGAAAAAAAAAAATTATAATTAGTAATTATAGTGATAAAATAAACTTTTTATTCAATAAATTATTTTGGCTGAAATATCAAAAATATGAGAAAATAATAAGAGATTTTTTTTGTTGGAAATTTAATTCTTTATTAAAAAAGTCCTTATTAATTTTTTCCAATAATATCTTTAATTTTTTGGACAGAATATTAAATTTAAACAAAAAATAAAAAAATTTTATTGACAAATTTCAAATTTTTTTAGTATCATGCTTCAAATTTTATTATTATTGTTATTTTGGCCAAAATATAAAAAATAGTATCTCTAATTTAATTTTTTAGACAGAATATTAAATTAAAAAAAAAATAACTATAAGAAATTTTTATTGTAAAATTTAGAAGGATTTTTTAAAAATTATTATTATTATTATTATTTTGGCCAAAATATCAAAAATACAAAAAATGATGAGACCTTTTTTGTAGAAAATTAAATTCTCTATAAAAAAAAAGTCCTTATCAATTTTTTCATACTTTCAATATTTTAGACAGAATATTAAATTAAAAAAAAAAAAAAAACAATTACAAATTTTTATTGTTAAATTTAAAAAGATTTTTTAAAATTATTATTATTATTATTATTATCTTAGGTGAAATATCAAAAATATGAAAAAATGATAAGAGACCTTTTAGACAGAATTTTAATTTAAACAAAAAAACTTTTATTAAAAAATCTAAAAGGTTTTTTAAATTCATTTTTTATGATGATATTAATAATAAAAATTTTAAATATTTGAAAAATAAATTTGAAATTAATCAAAAAAAAAATAAAATAAATTACCCAGGTAATCCTCCACTTTCCATATGATTTGCAAGAGTGACATCGTCACTCCAAACGTCAAACTGCCATTTCCTTAGTCCAAGGACGCCGCATAAAACGTTTCCGGTATGAATTCCTATTCTCATATCAACGTTGAATCCCGTAGCTTCTCGTACAAATCTACGTACCACAAAAATACAATATAAATTATTATCATTATTATTTATAGATCATAAACAGCAAATTAAATTTAAATCCCGACAATTTATGACCAAAATAAAATAAATTAGATTTATTTAAAGCGCGTCTGTGACAAATGGTATTAAATAACTAAATAAAAGTCAGAGTAAAATTGTGAGGGCAGCCGTCATCAAAAGTACTTATTTTATTTAAACGCCACTCGCTAAACAAGTGGAAATATATTGCGGAAAGCCGACGCGAAAATAGTAAAATGTAGCGTTACTTTTTTACAATTCTTTGTTTTCATTTCACCGAGGGAGTTAATGTCTTTTGAAAAGTCACCCGGTTCAAAGTTTTAAATATACGTTGACGTAAAGTACCGAGTGTACAGCGGTTGAAAGTACTGACTTTAATTTTTATTAACTGTTCTTCTTCTTCTTTTTCTTACAAGCACTAGTTTTATTCTTGTAAGTATTATTATTATTAATAATAATAGAAGTGATAAGTATCAGTTGCAAGTTGTTTGTTAGTTGTTGGTTGTGTTTATCGATTGCTGGTTTGTCGGGATTTTTTTTTGAGGTAATTATTGCATGTAATTGAACTTTGATGTATACCTAATGGCTTCAATCATTTGCAGCCCCATGTTGACACAACTAATGGCGTGATTTGGCCTAGAAATTGGTAGACCAGAAACACAGTAGTAGCAATCACCTAAAATCTTGATCCTCATACACTGATTTGCCTAATTAACAGTCAAACAATATTATTATTATTAAATAATTATAAAAAATTTTTGACTATTAATAACAACAATAATAATAACTTTCAAAAAATTTATCTCACTGATAATCAATTTATGATAATTATTTAGGCTGCATTCGAAAATGCGCGCTCTAGATACATAATTAAGTAATTACCTTGTACCTTGTGAACGATTGGCATTTTTAAAGATATAAGCTCATCTTGATGTTACACTCATCAAGACCTTTCATTTGAGTACCCACATACATTTTTGATATATTTTTTATATATACATATATATATAATATATATGAATATATGAAAAATTTATGTGGGTACTCAAATGAGAGGTCTTCATGAGTGTAACATCGGGATGAGCTTATATCTTTAAAAATTTCAATAGTTCATAAGATACAAGGTAATTTCTTAGTTATGTATTTTGAGAACTATTGACATTTTTAAAGATATAAGCTCATCCCGACATTACACTCATCGAGACCTTTCATTTGAGTACCCACATCAATTTTTTCATATATTTTATATATTTATATATATTTCACAAATACCATGTATGTAAAATATATAAAAAATACCATGTAGGTACTTAAATGAAAGGTCTTGATGAGTGTAACATCTAAATGAGTTTATATCTTAAAAAATGTCAATAATTAAGAAATTACATTCTATCTTGTCAACTAATGACATTTTTGAAGATATAATCTCACCTCGACATTACGCTCATCGAGACCTTTCATTTAAGTACCCACATCAATTTTCATACATTTTATATATTTATGTATATTATATATATGTATATATGAAAAATATACCAAAAATGCATGTGGGTACTCAAATGAAAGCTCTTGATGAGTGTAACATCGGGATGAGCTTTTATCTTTAAAAACGTCAATAGTTAAGAAAGTACAGTGCAATTTAACAAAAATCATTATTTAATAAATCAAAATTTTATTTATTTATAGTTCACAAGTCACGGCAGTCACGTAGTGACTGCAAAGTTGCCAGTTATTATTATTTTGATTAAAAATAAATAGTTATAAAAAACAAAATAAATTTTTATAATTATTTTAATATTATCATTACTAATAAATCAATATTAGTCCAAGATAAAGATAAATATAATTGTAGAGTAAACCAGTAGTTAGTTCGACGTATATGCATTAATAATTATCTCGTGAACGTATTTCAAACGCTGGAAAGTCTTATTAAATAATTAAAGGGCTTGTTTCGTGACTACTTCGCATCAGCATGATTAACTTTTTCTATCATACAATATACATGTGTATAAACACATATATATTGACGAATAAATAGACATTAATCCATACATGTAATTTCCGGAAATTAGTAATTTATTTCCTTTGCCTTTGATTGAATTTTCGTGGATTAATCTTCCTTTGATGCTTATAATCGTCTTTCGATTCAATTTAAGATTAAAAAAATTTTTTTTCTATCTATTTTTTATATAAAAAAATGAAATTTAATTACTAACAATAATTAGATAAAATTTTAATTAAAACGAGAGAACAAAATGGTTGTAAAAATAAAGTTTAAGCGACTTTGAGAAGTATAAAAGTAAGGTGAAGAAAAAAATGAGGTAAAAAATAAAAGGAGGAAAATGAAATAAGTTAAATGAGATCTACTTTTTTTAAAGTTCTTACTAACTTTTTATGTTTTTTAATTTTGTTGATCAGCCGGGTAGATATAAATAACACTTATTCTTATTATCTTTAAGGTGTAAGTGTGACAGTGAATTAGTAATCGATTTTTAGTTGCAGAAAATAAAATAAAAGTGTGTGATGGTAATGTTGATAACAATCGTAATAATAATAATGAGTAGAATCTTTACCGGAGAGTGTAAAATAAATAAAACTAAAGCTCAGGGATATAAGCTTTACTTTCTTCTTCGGAATCTTTAGTTTCATTGCTTTCGTTTGATTGCTTACAATGTTTTGTCGGTGTGGGCTCCAAGGGTCGCCGAAATTTATCCTCAGATACTTTTTTTGTTTATAGTAAATTCTGAGTTTATTTCTCTACCCTCGATTATCTGAGGCGTTATCTCAGGACTAGGGAACCTTGTTTCTTTATCCCTCGGTTCACTTGTTACATCCAGTCAATAGGAATCCTTTATCATTTTTATTTTATCTATTTCTTCTCTGATTTATTGATGCGTTTTTTTTTATTAACTATGATGATGATGAATTTTATGGATTATTTAATTATTGAGATTAGTTATTTTTATTGAATTTAATAGATAAATTGAGCAATTATGAGATCTTTTGTTAGAATAAAAATTTCATTATTATTAAAATTAAAAATAATTTAAAAAATTCTTTCAAACTTTTGAAGAAAATTTTTTTTTAACAAAATAATGATAAATATTTAGGCTGCATTAAAAAATGCTCTATCTCTAGATACATAATTAAAAAATGACCCTGTATCTTGAGAACTATTGACATTTTTAAAGATATAAACTCATCCCGACATTATACTCATCGAGACCTTTCATTTGAGTACCCACATCAATTTTTCATATATTTATATATTTATATATATGAAAAATATATCAAAATCCATGT